TCCAGAACACTAAGCGTCCTCGAGGAATGTCCGCCGAAGTGTGGGGCGACATGATCTCGGGCTTGTGTGACGACGCTCAGTGTTACGACGAGCAAATACGCTACCAGTACTTCCTAACGGGACTACGAAACAAGCAGTGGAGAGCCGCTCTCGACGGGAGTATGATTGACTCTATCCGTGGTGCTGTAACGCAGTTACTGTTCAAGAACATGCATCTCCCTTCTGACCACGACGATGAGTTCGAGAACACTTCGACGATTTACACCGAGAACTCTGCTTTGGAACGGATGATGAACATGATGCAACAGACCCAGAATTTGCTAATGCAACAACAGCAACAGCAGCAACAGTTGCTGGAACGTCCTCTGGCTGCTGCTTACCCGGCTCCTGCCATGAATGTGGCTGCTGCTTACTCTCCTGCTGCTCAGAGTGTTCCGATACCTCAGGCTCAACCGGCCGCGACCACCCCTACTACCCCGTTCCGTGACGTTCGTCATGGCCCGGACTTGTACACTCAAGACGGTCAGATTGTGTGTGGTAGGTGTCACGTTCTTGGATGTAACCGGCTCAACTGTCGCCGAGGTAGGGCGACTTGCACCAACTGTAAGGCTGCGGGTCATATCAGCGTCGAGTGTGAACATCCTCCTACGAACGGTTATCGGAGCAACCCGCCGAGGAACGGCCGTAAGTGTTTCTTGTGTGACGAACCTGGTCACTTGCTTTCGGACTGTCCTTTGAAGGCGTCTCTGAAGACTCTTGGAACGGCTGCTCCTCAAGTGTCTACACCAGTCCAAGGACAAGCGCCCCGACAGCAGTGATGGGGGCGAGAGGGAGGGGAAGGAAGTGTAGCTCCTTCCTCTTGTCAATGGAACGACACAAGTAGGAACACTTTGAACTCCTTGGAGGAGTCGGCCGCGAGGTATGAAGTGCGTCCTATACTGGGTGGAGTGTAACCCACCGTGTTGGATAAATTGTGGTTAAGCCGCCTGATAAAAAGAGAGTGTGTAACTGGAAAAGTAGAGCCAAGAAATATCTATGTACTCTGTGAGCCCTCCGAGCCCGTAAGAAAACGGTCCTCCGAGACAGACCAAAGTGGGAGTGTGTGAAACAGAAAGTGCCATTGCAAGAGAGTGCCCAAAAAAAAAGACAGTAACAGTTAAGCAGATGAGTGGCCGAACGCAAACCAGAAAACCATAACTGAGGAACCGTGTTACCTGCGAGAGATATTACTACAACCTGAGAACGCAGTGGAACGAGGAGCCCCAATAGTGAAGGATAACTACGAGAATGTGGATTCGAGTGTGAGTAAGCTCGCAAACATCATTAACGACCCGAGGAGTCACCTGGGTCGGAGCGGACACAGTCAAGAAAAGAGAGAAGTGTTCGTTCAAACCCAACCGGAAGAGTCTATAGTCGCTGAGGAAGGCATTCCAGACGGTAGCGTTGAACTAGAAAGAACGGACTCGGAGACTAGCCTGGAAGAGAACACTAGCCCGGAGAGAGACGTTAAAGAGATCGTAACCGCTGCCGAAGAACCCGAGATAATGCCTTCGTACGCGCGAGTGTTCTCGAAGGAGGAACTGGATGCCCTACAAGAAGGAAAGGACATTGGAGCAGCTGAAGAGAAGGAGGAATACGACGAAGAGCTCGAAGATAGACTGTTTCCCCTGGACGAGGTCGAGCTGAAACGTAGACAAGCAGAGAACGCTGAACGGTCTAGGGAACTGTCCCTAGCCGAGCTCAGTACACTTCTTGGCGTTCCTGAGGAGAAACTGGAACGGACTCGTGAGTCTTCACCCGGACGGTTGTCTACCCCTGAATACTGGCTGGAGTGGTATCGCAAGACGCTGGCCTCGACGGGCGCGGCCAAGCGTGCCAACCGTAATTTCAAGGAAGAACCCCCGGATCACGTCGGTTCCGTAGTGGCGACCGCCTCGGATGGTCGAGACGAGGGTGGAGGAACCGATCCCCAAGTGTTTCCCCTCAATGAGATTAAGGTGGAAACCACTGTCGATCCCGTAGTGACGACCGACTCGGATGGCCGAGACGAGCGAGGAGGAACCGATCCCAAAGTGTGTCCCCTCAAGGAGATTAAGGTGGAAACCGTTCACTTTCCTGAATCGAGTGGATCAACCCCTGCAGAGGAACCGGAAGTCGTGGACCTTACCGTGATCGAGACCAATATCGCCTTAGACTTCAACCGACAACCGGGTAACCCCTCTGGTGCTTCCGCGGAGGACCACGATGCTCTCATCTCTGACGGAATAGTGCCTGAGCGGTGGCGTGCTCTAATCTGGCAGACTGTTTATTATTTTGTGAAGACCGAAGAAATTCAGAAAGGATCGCTGTGCCCCGGTTGCCCTGCTGAAGAGTTGAGGACCGAGAAACTGATGGAAGAGGAAAGCGTTCCTGTATGGAAGCAGGACCTTGAGACCAGGACTCGGGACACTCTCAAGCGTTTCCTTGATCCGTCTGCAGTCGAGCTGGAGAATCTGCTGGTGCGGAGAATCATGGAGCTATATAGGAAGGAAGGAGACAAACAGCGCGTGAAGATCATAGAGCGGAGGTCCCCTTGCCGCAAATGTCGTCCGAAAGAACCTGACCCTGAGAAGACACCCCTCGCGAAACGGGTTAGTTTTGACTGTTCATCTCTTTTCAGCCGACGCTCCGAAGCTATTGGGTGACGCTGCTCGTCGGGAGACTCGGAAAATGGTTTGTACGGTTACGTGAGCGTTGTAGCCGACCGATCCGCTCCGAAGAGAAATCCTGGTCTCCGAGAAGTGCCTGACTCTATGGCGGACACCTCGACCGAAGATGACGACTTTGTGGTCCCAAACGGCAAGCGTGTGATTGGATCTGTTGGCGGAGTAGAAGCGTTATCGTGGGGTTTCATAGAAGACACTCCTGCGGAACTACTAATCGACTCGGGAGCAGTAGCGTGTCTGGTGCACAGCCGCGTATTAGCTCGCCTAGGCCTAAGTCACGCTCCAAGGATGCCCTATGTTGGAAGCCTGAAGGGAGTGTCCGGATCCGTTATTTCCATCAGAGGTGTCATTGACCTGCCGGTGACGCTAGGGTCCGTCGAGAGAATAATTCCGTTCGCAGTCGTCGATACTCTACACGTGGATGCTATCCTAGGGACTAACGCTCTACGGGAATTCAGAGCCGTGGTAAATCTGGACGCTAACACTGTGACGCTGAAGGACACTGGAGAGGTGTTCCCGATCGGTTCTCCTCGCGTCGAAGAATGCTACTTGTCTCGAATCACTTCTAATGTTCGTGTCTACCGTGGAGCGCAAGCTCTTGTAGTCGCTGACGTCCAGGGTGAGGTCGAAGACGGTACGACCGTTCTCGTCGAGGGTCTCGCGACTCTGGATAATACTGTCAAGATCGCTAGCTCACTGTGTACAGTCTGCAAGGGTCGAGTGATTCTAGAAGTGTGCAACCCTACGGAGGAATACGTGGTTATTAAAAGGGGAACGCTGTTGGCCTCTTTAACGGTAGTCCCGGAGTCGGCCTTCTCGCTGGGAGCTTCGACTATCAAGCGCGGTTCGAACAGTCTGGCGAAGTCGATCCCTCAGCTACCGCAGCCACCCTCGTACGCTATCCCCAGAGAGCCTGCTGACTGGATCCTCTCTGTCAAAGGTACCGCGGACGCGAGGTCTGAGAACACCGAAACGCCTCCGCCTGACCAGGACCGTGGCCCCGAGGAAAAGTTGGAAGTCGACTTGGAGAGCTCTAAGCTCGGAGACGAACATAAGAACTGTTCCGCGAAGTTTTGCAACCGTTCAAGGACATGTTCGTTGAGACCTCTATGCGTCCTGGCCGTACTGATTTGCTGGAATTCTCGATCGACACGGGCGACCACGCGCCGATTAAACAACCTCCTTACCGAGTGTCCAAGGCCGAGGGCGACGTCATGGAATCTGAGATCCAAGTATACTTGAGTCAGAACCTCATACGACCGTCTACCAGTCCGTGGGCCAGCCCAGTTCTGATGATCCGCAAGCCTGACGGAGGGATACGGTTCTGTATTGACTACCGAAGGTTGAACGCTGTCACCATCAAGGACTGTTACCCCATGCCCCTTATAGACGATATCCTGGACGTTTTAGGGAACGCCAAACTGTTCTCAACTATGGATTTTGCCTCTGAATATTGGAACGTCCCTATGGCTGCTGATAGTGTGGAGAAAACAGCTTTCACTTGTAAGTACGGTCTGTTCGAATGGCTGGTGATGCCCTTCGGACTGTGCAATGCTGTTCCGGCCTTCGAGCGCCTGATGGAGACGGTTCTGGTGGATCTCAAGTGGAGAACATGTCTGGTGTACCTCGATGACTGTGTGGTCTTCAGCGAAGACTTCCCTACTCACTTAGTACGGCTAAAGCAAGTACTGGAACGTTTCAGATCCGCTGGATTGAAGCTCAAGATGAAGAAGTGCAAGTGGGCCCGGGACCAAGTGGCGTTCCTGGGACACATCGTCACTC